GAGTTTAGACTATACAGCTCATCTTACTTCAAGCGCTTTCAGCCTGCCCAAGTTCTTCCTTAAGCCTCCTCTTCAAGGATTTTCTGCATGCAACCGAGGCTCACAACTGCGAAAGTGTCCGTGTCATCAGCACCACTGACCTCAAGCTCCGTGATCCAGCCTTCCAGGGTTCTTCAAAACATTGGACTTCATCCCTACTGTTAGGACAGCAGGGGATTTAGCCACCCCAGACTTCGTTTAGCCGTTGTGTTGACACTGAAGCACTGGGGAAGGTACAAGTACTACCGGTAGAATCTGTAACAGGCCTCTTCGTCGAAGGAGGGCGCACAAGCTGTGTGGGCCTTCGTGGCCCAGCACGGATCCAACCTCTGAAATTCTCAGTGCCAAATTCACGAGGATGCAACGGTGAAGAGTACGATCAGAAAGTGATTATGAGACACAGCTAACACTGCCGACAGGGAATCCGCAGCCAAGCCGGGCGTGACACCCAATCACCGCCTACTGAATTCACTGAGGCCCAAGAGCCATGCTTCTTGAAATCTGTCTTGGCCTGGTGTTCTCCCGGCATGCAGAAGGTGGCTTTGGAAAATCAGGTGTTCAGCCAATGCGAGCCGGCAGCGTGGGAACTGGGGTTGTACCAGCGCCAGCTTCCAGAAGTCATGCCTGGGCACATGCAGCTTCAAGGGGGGACTCCAGAATTCCAAGATGCAATACCTAAGCAGGGAGGAAGACCCTAAACGTGAGGAAGCTTCGGGGCCCAGTGGCTGCCGCTTGCGGGACTTTTCGGTGCCTCCTCTGCTGTGACAATCGGTGTACCCGGTGCAAACGGCACTGGGAACACTACCTGCCACACCAGGGAAGCCAGCATACCTGGTGTCTACTCAACATTCTACACGCGCGATTCTGCACAATGCTTCTTTGCCTGCAGCTCCCTTGCATCAGCGACCGGCACTGCTTCAACTCCTGTCGATTGTTCTATCGATTGATCGCCCCTTCTGAGAGAAACTTGGTACTGTCGAACGTGCACGTGTACATCCACGATGTGAAAATATCCCTGTCCATCGCAGGCACTGCCAGCGGCCTTGCTCAAATGCTTCTGGTAGGAATAGCGGCTGATTCGCATACGAAGCGGAAGGTTCCAGCCGCTCACCTGATGAAGCAGTATATTATTGTAGTTTCCATTTTCTTTTCCATTATCCCCATATTACCCCAACATATACCCTATACTCCCTATAAAACCCCTATAAAACCCCTATATAACCCCTATATAACCCCTATATAA